GATGAGTGGGCTGGGGAATTCTGGGAGTTGAAGTCCACTCATCTTAAAGTGGCCAAGTTTGGACAACACGGTCTAAGCTAACGAAGAAGAGAGTGCAGTTGACTTTAGGCCTCATGTTGTACAACGTTGGCAGAGACAAACATGGGGAGCAAGACTGCTCCGCCTTCTCCTCCCCTGCTTAATTTCTCTTTCTTTCCAGATAGACAGGACCGCTCTCCACTGGGCTGCAGGGGCTGGGCATGAACAGGCAGTGCGCCTCCTCCTGGAACACGAGGCTCCCGTGAATGACGAGGACACTGTGAGCTTTTCCCCATGCTATGTTAACTTTATTGGTTGTAATGACTAATGTACCTTTATTTGCAGGCCGTTTTCCAAAACAGTTTTTGGAGAGCTGTTATAACACAGTCCAGTACAGGCCATGATGAGGTCATAGGTCTCATGAAGCCATCATGCAAATGATGCCCATTATGTCATTTGTACAATGACAACTTGGTACACATGGCATTACTTGACTTCCTTTTCTCATTCCTATCCAGATGCCCTTGAACACACTCCGTTGGGCTTTACTGCACGTCTTTAATTGATGCTTATTTTTGGGGATCCCAGATTTAACAAAACCTAAACTAACTGAACTGGCTGGGTTCCTGCAACATACTAAGCCACAGACGAAATAAATATGAACCAAAGTTAACACTAATAAACATCACACTGTGGACAATTGCAGTACTAAATCTTTAACAAAGCTGGTTAAGCAGGATATACAACAAGGGCAGGATAAATGTATTCTTCAGACAGAAAAAACCAGTCAACTGTGGCAGACCCAAGAATCAGTTTTAACCCATAACTGCCCTGGGGTTGTTGGATCAAACCCATCCAGCAGCCAGCTGTTTGTGCAAGAGGGTCGTTCAAGGTTTACCTCTCCCCAGTTGCTCGGCACAGAGGCAAGAACCTAGAGAAGCTTTGCAAACTTGGAGTTTTTCTAGACATCCCTATTGAATTGTGTCCTTTTGCAGATGTAGGAAGACGGTAAAGAGTGGGCAGATGGGAAGAGGGATAAATAAACCTTCTCCCCTCCATCTGCAGTGGATTCAACCCTGATCAGGCCATTGCAGATTTTATTTATTTTATTTTTTAACAATCTGCATAGAATAGGGAACCACAGTATTAGGAATGCTGGTCTCTGCAGTGTCTAGAGGTATTCCCCACCCGGCTGTTTAGATATCTCCCCATGGATGACACTGGCTGGCATTCTGGCTAATATTTTCACAGAGCATTGGACTATTCAGACAGAACAATAGACTATTCCCCATTGGACTGAGTTTTCACTGCTTCATTTCTCATAATCTGCTGCTGGATCACAGCTACAGAGTTTCCCAGACAGAGCATCAGACCAGGTTAAAAAAAAAAATTCCCCAAGGGCAGAGATTTGTTGTAACCTAAGCTTCCACCAAGTGGGACAAGAAACATCCAATGTAATAGAGAACACAAGGAAACGAAGCAAGATTATTAAAAGTACCCAAAAATGAACATTTATTTTTCTCTTTCCCTTCTCACCAAAAGGTATCATTTAAGTTAGGAGAATCTTTCTAGCTTCTCAAACACTTACCTTCTAAAGCATAGGAGTGTACAGAACTGCGCTGGGAGTAATTCTTTTTGAAAAACAACCAGAACTTTAAAGAAACATCCAACTGCTGGTTTTCATGCTATTTCATTTCAAAAGCTTGTTTTATTGACTTTTTGGGTGTAGGGGAAAACGGGCTTACCTTGTCATTTGTATTCCCTTAACATTGTAAGCTGCTCTGGAAATCAAGATCGTGTAATTTTTTGCTTCTTTGGCCTAGGATGAAGCTAACTTTCCTTCTCTCATCCTCCTGTTTTCCAGTTTGGGATGAGTGCGCTCCTCCTGTCTGCTTGGTTTGGTCACTTACGCATCCTTCAGATCCTTGTCAATGCTGGTGCTAAAATCAACTGTGTAAATAAGGTATGGTAGATTTTTATGGCTTGAGGGCATTAGCTGACAAAGCTGGGCTCCATGGGAAGACCTGCATGCAAGGACATGGGTGTCAGAAGAAGGCAAGCGATGCAGGAGACAAGTGACAAAATGTGCATCGCGATGTTGGGAGGCAAAGTCCCTCCTTTACATACCGACACGCAACATTACAGTGCAAGTATGGAATGGCGAAGCTTGGATCGTGTTGTCACAATGTACATTCTGTCATTGTGGCATCCGTAGGGTTGGGAATGGACTCCTATGCCAGTGAGATCTGCTAAAAAATTCTGCTTAGCTTTGTTCCTCTTAGCTGTGCCTTGTGCACGTGAAGACACCATGCTTTGTCCATGCAACATATTCAGCCAGGTCCATTAACGAAATAGTGGCTGTTTGCACAGTGTTTATTTAGAAGTGTATGAAGCCGCCCAACAATTCAACAACTCTGGGTGGCATAAAATAAAAACAATCAGACCAAAAAAAAAAAAAACCCACAACAACTAGAAGGAAAACAACCATTAATGACAAACACATACTCAACCCAAGACCTGGGATGAGAACCAGGTTTTCAGAGCTCTTTTGAACACAGCCAGGGTGGGGCCAGGCGGATCTGCATATGGAATGAAAGAGAGCAAGAGGAGACGGACCGTCCTGATTCCGGTTGCACCACCTTTGAGGCAATATGTAGCTAAGATATGAGGAAGTTACTCTGCAGGTAGTTTTCAGTGAAGAAGATTAAGGCCTCCTGTGCCAGCAGTGTTTATTTAAGGGGAAAGTCTGCAGTTGTTTTCATCCCAAATCCTGTACGTAACCAGCAAGGCAAACCTGCACATTTTTTAATAATTACTAACTAGAAGGAATAAAACACGATCTGGCAGTTGCAAAGCACAGAAAGAAGGCATTTCCTTCATGACAGGTTTCCTTTTGCTTGGCAAAAGGCAGTGAAATTTCGCACGTGGAGAGGAGCTAAATTCCAAAAAGGTGGACAGCTGCTTTCTTCATACAGGATCTCCATTTCTGAAAACTCAGTCTTGGAAGGTGTCTCTCGATGTTTCCCTTCCTTGTTTTAAGACAAGGCCATAAAGTTAGGGATGCAACTGATCCTAGAGGTGGGGGCATTGGCAAGCAGGGTAGAGAGAGGTAAAAAAAGTTAAAATGGCAGCTGCAAAAGCCCCGTCCCTTTTTTACAGGCATGGCAAAAAGGGGTGGAGCCTTGATCATGCAGTCACAGACTCCATCTTGAGTTTTTTGACCCTCCCCTAGGACATCCCTGCTTAGAGGTCTCAATATCTTACCCACCAGCCCCAATCTCACAAGATACCTTTAAACAGTTGTATTATCTGGGACCCGCAGAGCAAAAAGGGGCAGACTGCTGATTTATTCCCCAACACCTTGAATCCCTCACCCTTATTTTTTCAGAATGGCCACAACCTCCTGCACTGTGCTGCCCAAAGAGGTCATCTCAGGGTGATGGAGTTCATCATGGAAGATCTGGAAGATGTGCAGTTGAATAAGAAAGATAAGGTAAGCAAGCTGTGTGCAGAGGAAGTCTCCCCTTCCCCAGTTCAATGAACTGGGAAGGCTGATCGATCTCTGAAAGACCACTAGGCTATCATATGGACCTGGGATCCCCAACATTGTGCCTGTGAGTCCTAATGTGCCCATAGACTCTTCTTTGGCACCTGCCAGATTTCTCGCCCAGTCAAACATTTTATTGGTCAAACCAGGATTTTAATTTTAAAAATACGGATTGTGTGGTCCTCATACGCTATGTTGTTTGGAAGTTCCAATAAGTGCCATAGGTATTTCTGTTAACTTCCAACATCTAACATTTAAAAATAGCTCTTTTAATTTTTTTTTTTTAAAGGGAAGTTAGACTGCTGCGAAATTAAAAGCCAGCCATCAGCATCACTATTATTTCCCCAAATGCCTCTGGGTCTATCACATATCCTTCCTGTTCTGGGACTTCCTTCCTTCCTTCCTTCCTTCCTTCCTTCCTTCCTTCCTTCCTTCCTTCCTT